CTTTTATACAGTCAAATGATTTCTGACAAGGGTGCCAAGACCATTCAATGGGGAAAGGACGGTCTTTTCAACAAATGTGCTGGGAAAACTGGACATCCACATGAAAAGAATGAAGTCAGACCCTTACCTTACACCTTATACAAAAATTAACTCAAAATGCATCAAAGACCTAAATGTAAAAGCTAAAACTACAAAACTCTTAGAAGAAAACATAGGGGAAAAGCTTCACGATATTGGATTTGGCAGTGATTTGTTTGACATGACACTAAAAAGCACAAACAACAAAAGTAAAAATAGATAAATTGGACTTCATCAAAATAAAAACTTTTGTGCATCAAAAGACACTATCAACAGAGTGAAAAGGCAGCCCATGGAATGACAGAAACCACCTGCAAATCATCCATCTGATAAGGGGCTAACATCTAGCATATATAAAGAACTCCTACAACTCAACAACAACAAAAACCCAATTCAAAATGGGCAGAGGACTTGAACATTTCTCCAAAGAAGAATGGCCAACGAGCACATGAAAAGATGCTCGCTATCACTAACCATTAGGGGAATGCAAATCAAAACCACAAAGAAATATCACTTCATACCTATTAGGATGGCTATTATTTAAAAAAAAAACAAAACAGAAAATAGTAAGTATTGGCATGGATGTGGAGAAACTGGAACCTTTGTGCACTGCTGGTGGGAATGGAAAATGGTGCCCCCACTGTGGAAAACAGTACGGTAGAGTCCTCAAATAATTTAAAATAGAATTATCATATGATCCAGCAATTCCACTTCTCGGTATACACCCAAAGGAATTGAAAGCAGGGTCTCAAAGAGAGATGCACACCCATGTTCATAGCAGCATTATACACAGTAGCTAAAATGTGGAAGCAACCGAAGTGTCTACTGCTAGATGAATGGATAAGCAAAATGTGGTGCATCCATACAGTGGAATATTATTCTGCCTTAAAAAAGAAAGAAATTCTGCCATTTGCCACAACATGGATGAACCTGGAGGGCATTATGCTAAGTGAAATAAGCTACTCACAAAAAGACAAACACTGTGATTCCACTTATATGAGGGTCCTAGAATAGCTAAATTCATAGAGACAGAGAGTAGAATAGGGGTTGCCAGGGGCTGGGGGAGAGGGGAATGGGGAGTTAGCGTTTAATGGGGACAGAGTTTCAGTTTTACAAGATGAAAAGAGTTCTAGAGATGGATGGTGGTGAAGGTTGCAGAACAATCTGAATGTACTTAATACCACTGAACTGTATACTTCAAAATGGTTAAGATGGTAAATTTTATGTTATGTATATTCTACCACTTTTTTTTTTTTTTGCTGAGGAAGATTCACCCTGAGCTAACATCTATTGCCAATCTTCCTGTTTTTGCTTGAGGAAGATTTGCCCTGAGCTAACACCTGTGCCCATCTTCCTCTATTTTATATGTGGGTCTCCACCACAGTATGACCACCGACGAGTGGTGTAGCTCCACGCCTGGCAACCGAACCTGGGCCGCCAAAGCGGATCGTGCCGTACTTAACCACTAGGCCACGGGGCCGGTCCCACCACCACAATTTTTTTAAATGGTTAAAAAAAAGAAAAAAGCAGGCCAAACAAACAAGACACATTTGAGGGCTAGAGCTGGTCTGCCAGTCTGTGGCCTCTGAGCACAGTCTGTTAAGGTTCTGTCTTGAGGTGCAGGGGCAGTGAGGGGTGGGGTGCAGTCTGGGCGTGTGTCACACTGGCAGGAGCCTTGTAAGCGTGGAGGCCACCACTCCAGGGACATGCACAGAGGAGAGGGGAGCTTGAGGCCACCGGGACATGGCCTGGGGTCGTTGCCAACGTCGGGGAGGGTTGTTGGACTAGCTACAGCCTCCCTTGGTCGCCAGACCAAGACCAGTGACCTCTGTGGACTGAGTCAGCTGTGGGCCCAAGGACTGAGCACTTTGGCCTGAGTGCTCCCCACAAGGAGCACGGTGAGCTCCCAGTGAATGCAAACCTGTCCGCCTGACACTTACCAGTGGAGAGGCCTGGAAAGACTCCTACAGCCCTCACAAGCCCAGGTTCCAACACTGTTAACAGCAGCCCCATTGACTGAGTCAGCTTTGCCAGCAGGGCAGGGGGGCTTCATAAGATAATCACTTTGAACCCCCCAATCCTGTCAGGTAGGTACCATTGTTATCGCCATTTTACAGGAAGAAAAACTGAGGTTCCGAGAGATTAAGCCTTGGTTAAACAACTTGCTCAAGTTCACCTGACTACCAAGTGGTGGACCCATGATTGGAACTCGGGTCTCAGTGACCCCTGTAGAGCCCTCACTCTTAACCACTAGGCAACACTGCCTCTCAGGAAGAGCACTGTGGGAAAGCAGCCACAGTCAGGAGGCGAGTGGGGACAAGGCTGGGAACAAGGCACCATGAGAATGAGGCGGGGTGTACCCCCCATGGGCTTTTCTTAGAGAAGCAACATTTAGAAGACCCGGAAGGTCAGTCTGTGTCAAACCACAGTGAGGCTGCCAGGAGATCAGAGCAGGAGTGACATCTCACGAGGCATAGTGCTTTACAGTTTACCATCCATTTTTCTGTCCCGTCACAATTGATCTGCCCAATAACCACAAAGCGACATTTATTAGCCCCAGTTCAGAGACTGGGAAATGAAGGCTCAGAGAGGTAGTGCTTTGCCACAGCTGCACAGCTGGCGAGCGGCACAGCAGGACTAGAACCCTGCTCACAATTCCAAATTCAAAACCCTTCCCAAGAACAACGATGCTGGCGGCGGCAGCAACACCAATAACACTGGACCATCTCATCGGGTGGCTATTATGTCCATTTTACAGATGAGGAGACTGAGGTGCAAAGTGCTGATTAACCAGCCCAAGGTCACACAGATAACGAGCCGTGGCAAAGTCGGGATCTGAACCCGGCTCCAGGCCCACATGGCTGGCCCAGCTCCACGGGGCCGGACCCTCCAGAGAGGGGCTCAGAGACCTGGAGCTTCAGGAGCATCCCCTGAGAAGTTTCCAGAAAAGAGCTGGCAGTCAGCAAGTTCAAGCATAAGATGTAAGCAAAGACCGGGCAGCCTTCTGAATTCTCCAGATCATCTGCGGGAGGGTGAGGAGGGGGCGGGAACGTCTGGAGAGCTGCGGCTCCAAGACACCAGGAAGGCCGGGACGCTTCCCCTTCAACTTTCCCTCTAAAACGTAAGTAGATTTTGCTAATTAAAGGAAAAAGAATATTTTTTTAACTTGCTTAAAGTCACAAAAGGCCATATGTTATTATGATTTCATTTATATGAAATGTTCAGAAAGGGCAAATCCATACAAACAGAACACAGGTCAGTGGTTGCCAGGGGCTGCGGGGAGGGGGAAATGGGGAGCGACTTAACAGGTCTTTTTAGGGAATTTCAGAAAACGTTCTGAGATTAGATAGTGGTGCTGATCGCATCACCATCTTAATATACTTATGACCATCAAATTGTCTATCTTAAAGGGGTGAATTTTACAGCATGTGAATTATATCTCAATAAAGCTCTTAAAAAAAACAAACTTGTCTGAAAAGTAAACAGCCTTCACTGGGGAAGGTCAGGGAAGGAAGAGCTGATGATGAGCTGTCAACACGGGCCAGATGTGTGTCCTGCAGGGTGGGCCCCGGAACAACCCCACAGCCCCACGGGGCAGCGCCTGGCCCTACGCTCCAGCTACACAAGCCTTGGTTCCACCCTTACACTCATCTTGCTCCTCCTGCCACAGTCCCTTTGCACGACTGTTCCCTCAGCTCAGAACGCACTTCCCCTGCTCTGTGCCAGACCTCATCTCCAGCACTGCTTTCTCAGGGAGGCCGTCCCTGACATCCCCGACAGGTCGTGATCTCCCCTACAAAGCCCCCTGGTCTAAGTCCTCATGCCCTGTGTGTGTGCCCACCTGCCAAGCCCTTGTTCCTCTTCCAACTTTATGTGGGTGCAAGTAACAAATGTCCGTCCTCCCCCAGACTGCAGCCTCCACAGGCCAGGGCGCACCTGTCCACCTGGGAACCCCCAGGGCTCGGCTCAGTGCCCAGTACACACCAGGCCCCCAGCACACAGCTGAGGAGGAAGGTGGCTGGGCATCACAGGAGGTAACAGTGATGTAAGCTGGTGCGTCACGCCTTGCACAGAGGAGACCCCGTCTGTGGGCAGACAGGCCCAGAAGCAGCAAATAATGGGGTCACAGGGCCCTAGGGACACCCCAAGGAAGCCCACCCAACTCAGCAAGGGGCAGATGGTCAGGACAGATAGTTCTTGAGAAGAGGAAAATGAGCTGCATTTAAAAAGTGCATAAAAACCTCTGCTGCCCCCTGGAACTGAGAACAAGTCACGGTGTTCAGTGATGTTCCCTCGAGCAGAGGGTCCACGCGGCTGGGTCATCTCTTTGGATGACAGAGCGGCTGGCTCTTGGGACAGAGAAAGAATGTGGCCCCACCTGAAGCAGGGCTTTGCACAGAGAGCCCCAGGCCCAGAGCTCAGGGTACAGGATGCAGTGTGGGGATGATGTAGAGACAGGGTTGGGGACGTAATGGAAGTGGGGACGGTCAGACACAGGCACAAGAGGCAGACACTGACGATGGGAGTGGGGAGCTGAGCCCCAGGAAAGGGGCCTCAGAGCCCACGAGGAGGTGGGGAAGGAGAAGAGAATAAAGCAGTCAGGCACGCAGCACAGGCCTCAGGGCGGGAAGCATCCCTGTGCCTTCCTGCTCTACTCATGTCTACACCACAGCCCATCACTTCTGGAGAGGCAGGTCCTGGCCCCTGGTAACCACGAGGAGTGGGCACAGGATGACCAGGATGGGAGGCCCAGGCCTGTGACTCTTGCCATCTCACCCTCTTGTGCATTCCTGAACCAGGAGAGGAGACCCCATCTGTCTAGTATGCTGGTGGCCTGGTGGGTGCCAGGTGCCCCGGGCGATGTCCTCCGACCTACTCCACGGTGGGCAGTGGCCTCTGCCTGTCCCAGCCTCCCCAGGTACCTGGTTCTGCAGCTGGGTGGCTGTGGCTTGCTGGTCACTGTCGCGGAGGGCCAGCCTCTCCCGTAGGGCCGCCAGCTCCTCCTGCAGCTGGGCTTTCTCCTCCTGCAGCTGGGACATGGCCTCCACCATCCTATGCACCATGGGGGCCGCACCTGGCGGCCCCGACAGGCTCGAGCACCTCCCGCCGCCAAAGAGCCGCCCACCTAAGAGCAAAGTGCGGCCATCAGCAGGGCAGCCGAGGTCCCATCCTGGTGGAGGAGAGGGGCCCGGCGTGGCAGGGCGGACCATCTGGACAGGGAGGGAATGCAAGCAGAGAGGATAGGCGAGCCAGGCGAGGGCTGGGGGCAGCACAGCATGGATTATAGCCAGGGGCCTCCGGGGCCTGCCACAGAGGAAGCCCCTTCAGCTTAGGACTTAGGAAAGCAACTTTCACTGACTCCCCTCAGAGCATGAGTTCTAGGTCTGATGGGTGATACCTTCTCCATGGCCAGCCCGCAAGGAATTGCAGCTGAGAAAGACATGCCTTCTGGCAACAGCAGAGGAGGAGGCTGCGGCTTTCTCCCTGGGAAACACTATTCTTGTGTCCCAGACCCTCTCCAGAGTTCAGAAGAGAGGCAGGGCTCCCCAGCCTGCCCCTGCCCTCTGCAGGGGGTGATCACCTGCACTCGGAGAGGGAGCATGGGGAGGGTGTGCATGTGCAAGGAACAGACAGACCAGGACATGGAGGCAGACACAGCACGTGGGCAGGAACACAGCCAGGCCCGCTCTGGGACAGACACCTGCGCTCGGCGGGACTGAGCACAGGGACCACACAGGCGGGAGGAAGTGATGAATACTGGGGTGGCCGGGGCCTCAGCCTGAGTCCTCCTCCTCCCACGGCCTTCCACTGTCCTGTCACCAGGAGCAGGAGAGAGACAGACAGACAGATGGAAGGACAGAGACAGAGTCAAGGCCTGGGACCTGCTAATGGGGCCTGGGATGCTTGTCATAGCTTGCTTCGGGGACACCAAGAACAGCCACAGTCTCCGAGGCGGGGAGCTGGCAAGGAGCTCGGAGGAGGGAGAGTGGGGCCGAGGAGAGGGCGGAAGGGCGCCTCCTCCCCTCGCGCAGCCCAAACCGGGTCCTGGCCAAAGCCCTGACAGGCAGAATGAGGAGTCCCACAGTGAAGCACAAAGAGCGCCATCTGCTGGCCGCGAGCCTCGCTCTACGGGGAGGAGCAGGGCTTCTGGGCTCCCATACTAGGTCCCTGGGGGCCGCAGCCCTGTGCAGGGCAGGACAGGGGGCCTCCCAGATTCTGTGAACGAAGCCACCTGCGCCTGAAGTCACATACCCGCTGGCAGCTCTGACCGCAGGGAGGCAGCAGTGTGCTCACTGAGACTGCAGAGAGGCCAAAACATTGCAGCCTGGCTTTTGGACGGGGCTGGAGCGGGGAGTGTGGAGGGAGCAGGTCCTGGGCGGGCCGGGACATTCCAGCACTGTCCCCAGGCCGGGTAGACGATGAGAAGCCCCTGCTCCCACTCTAAAGACAGCAGGCAGAGCTCACGCAGGCCGGCTTTCCCCTTCCTTCCAACCTTTAGGATAGCTCTGGCTCAGGACCCTCTAGAGAGCTGGAACAGTCACTGGTTGGCTAGTGGCCCTGGCCGTGTGGCCTGCGCGTGACACAGAAGGCATGTCACACACAGTTGGGTAAGCTTCTGCTCTCTGTTCTAGAGAGAGTGAGGTCAGACGGATGCTTCCAGGCCTGCACACGGGGCTGCCATGAGCAGCATGTGACCGGCACAGCCTCAGCCCTTTGCAGACCGCCGTGGGGTGGCAGGGAACACACTGGACTCCAGGTCCAAGAGCTGGTTCTTCACGTAAGAGATGTGTGGGAGGGGCCCCTCAGGGTCTTCCACTGTGAAGTGGGGACAAGGGTCCTTGCCCAAAGGAGCACCCCTGGGAAAGGAGCCTGGAACCCACAAGGGATGCACAGGTATGTGCAAGCGCTACCCACAGGACATGGGAGAGCTTTTCTCCTCTGGGACACTGCTCAGACCACAGAAGGTTCTGAGACACCGGCAGAGCCCACGCCTGGTGGGGTTCACCCTGACAGCGGCACCGTGCCCACGTGCCAGGGCCGCTGAAAGGGGGCTGGAGAGCACTTGCTGGGGAGAAAAGGCCTTGAGGAAGCTAAGGGAGGTCAGAGGAGGAGGGAGGAGAGAGAGGGGAGATCAAAGGGGCAGGGGGGGTGAGGGACTGAACGGGCCCTTGCACGGAGGAGGCTGCACGCCTCTCCGTAGGTCGGTTTTCAGAGCGAGTTTTCAAGAAAGAGGACATCCTGAAGACCCTGCCTGGGCGCTGCCCCTCGTGAGCTCTCAGGCCCAGGGAGCTGGGGGCCCGACCCTGGCCCCACCGACAAGGGTGAGTCCTCACTCCTAACTGGAACTGGCCTTTCTCTCCCAGCAAATCAGGAGAGCCCACCTGGTTGGCTGGACGATGCCCCTCTTCCCAAGGCCTGTCCGCCCACACACGTGGGCCAGACCCCACACCTGCCGCTAAGTGCCTGGCCCAGACGGGGAAGACGGCTCTGGCACAGCCTCAGAGAAGGAGTGGCTCCTTCCACCCGCGAGGCAAGTTCAGACTCACAAATCAACCTCTGCTCAAAGGAGGAGGAAAACAAGAGAAAGACCGACTCCTTTTCCTCCTCACACTCCTGGCCTCCCCTTGGGCTCCTGGAGGATGCCTTTTCCCAATTACCGCTGGGGTCAGGATTCCCGCTGGGGAACTCCACAGAAACGACCCGTAGAATCTTCCAGAACCAGTCAGCCTTGCCAGAGAAGAGTAGAGCCACCAGCTCCTCTTTCCCGGCCTTGAGTCAGCAGAGTGAAGCCCCGTCCTAGGGCCTCTGGGTCCCCAGTGGACCCACGGATACAAGGGGAAGGGGCCAGGCCTCCCTCCGCAGGTGCTGGCGTCTTTGGGGCTGCCACCTCGCCCTGCTTTTGACAGGTGCTGGGAAAAGACAAAAAGCGGGGAAATTCAACCCCAGCCCACGCCGGCCAAAGCCTCTTATCACCGGGTGGGGCCCTCGGTGGCACTGGGAGGAGGGCGTCCCTGGAGTAGGGACAGGCAGGCTGGGGTCTCTGAGTTCCGTGTCAGGCAGCCAGGGTTTGGCTGGACCACCTCCAATCAGCAGGACAGTGTGCGAGGACAGCTCAGATGCCAAAAGAGCCTCCCCTCCAGCTTGAGCCAGGGCTGTTCCAGGTCGGTGGGCAGACCTCCTTTACCTGTTTTCTCTATATTCATGGTGCCACCAGCTTCCCGGGCCTCCCGGTCCCGCCGGGGGGCCGGCGCCTGCCTCTTCAGGAGCTTCTCTTCCTTCGTCCCCTTACTCTTGCTCTCGCACCCTTTGTCCTGCAGGGCCTGCTGCCAAGACACAACCAGAATCCTCACGTGAAGGGGACAGCAGTGGGGAGGGGAGCCCCTCGAGCCTGAGGATGGTGCGCTCCTGGAGCTGGCGAGGCCCCCGGGCCCCCAGGGCCATCCCTCACTGTGTGGGGGCGCGGGGACGATGAGGCCCAGAGTCTGGAAGAAAATGTGCTCAGATCCCATGCAAGACAGTGCGTTCTCCTGGCGCCCGTCGGCAGCTGGCCCTCTGCACCAGCGAGGAAGTCACCAGCACAGTGGCCCGCTCACTTCGGGCGCACAGCCCCACCATTCACAGGCCCAGCCAGCTGCCCCAGGACCACGGCCACCTCAGGGCAGCTCCCCGTGATGACAGCAGCTCCCGCCTCCAGACAGACCAGCCCGGGACTGCCGAGGAGGGTGCCCCCGGGGCCACCTGAGCAGGGGAAGGCCACGGCCCACTCCTCAGCTATCAGGGACCATAGGACCCGTCTCCTGGTCAAGGAGGAACGGAGGCAAAGAAGGCCGAGGTAGGGCAGACCAGCGGACAGGCGGGGAGAGGCAGAGGAGCAGGAGAAAGAGTGTTTCACCCAGAGAAAATCCCCTACAGCTCACACAGAAAGACGTCCGAGGCAAGCAGCAGAACCACACACAGTGCCATCCCATGTGAGCATACCAGAAATAAAACAAGCATGGAAAAAAACTGGGGGAAATACACAGAGAGTGGTCCTCTCTGGGCGGTCGGGTGATGGCACAGCGGCTAAGAGGAGAAAGACGCATCACTTACACCACAGGGGGAATAAAAAGAAACTCAACTGCGAGAAAGTGGAAAGAAGGGAAAGGACGCTTTACGTTTCATTTTGAACCCAGCATCTCCATTTTTAACCTTAGAAACCTCTACGGTGTTCTGTTTTGTTCTTTAACGTCAACAGAAGTTATCTGGGAAGAGAGATCACAGACACGATTTTTACGTGTCTTTGTGCCCGCTGCACCGGCCGTATTCGAAACAAAAAGACAAATGCAATGTTGAAAACGATGCTCGAGGCTAGAGTCGGAGGGGCCAGGGTGTGAAGCCTGCCTCTTGTGAGCTGTGTGACTGTGGGCAAGTTCCTTACCTTCCTGAAGCTCCATTTTCCCTATTCTTAAGACAGAAAAGAGAATAACCACCATCTCACGGAGCGGCACAAAGAGTAACCGCGCTGACTTATGCAGCAAGTGTCTGGCACGAAGGAAGAGCTGGATGTCAGGCAGCCAATAGCGTTACCTTACTTCTGTAGTCCTCAAATTTTTTTACTTTTATCATCAAAAAGCCAACAAAGAGAATCGAAAAGACTCGAAAAGGGCCGGCCCCGTGGCTTAGCGGTTAAGTGCGTGCGCTCTGCTGCTGGTGGCCCGGGTTCCGACCCCGGGCGCGCACCGATGCACCACTTCGCCGGCCATGCTGAGGCCGCGTCCCACATACAGCAACTAGAAGGATGTGCAACTATGACAGACAACTGTCTGCTGGGGCTTTGGGGGGAAAATAAATAAATAAAATCTTTAAAAAAAAAAAACAAAAGAAAAGACTCGAAAAGCAACAGCAGCTGGCTAGTTAGTCTGCAATCCACTTCCTCTCTCGACCCTACATTCTACTTGAGGAGGGAGGGTGGCGAGCACATCCCTCGTATTTAGGAAAAGTCTGCCGACTTTATTCTGTCCGCACCCTGGGACCAACTGCCACACCGTCACGAGCAGGCTTGTCGGCGGTGGCCGCAACGGCGGCAGCTGGAAGTTTCCATGTGCCGACCAGAGCAAAGGTTACACTATTTCTGGCCTGTCAGCCAAGCCACAGGAAGGGCAGACAGGCCCCCGGGGGGTTGGGAATTTCTGCAGTGTCTCCAGGGGAAGCGTCTGGGGTTTAACTGCTTGAGAGGCTGGAGCGGGGTGGGTCACCCCTCTCCATGCCTGGGTCCCTACTTTGGCCCCATCCCGGACCTCGAAGCACCTATAAATATAATGGAGCTTCCTGGGACACAGCAGGACATGAACATGGAAACTGGCTGCAGTGGGAGCTCCTCAGAGATCCTCAGCAGATCTGCTGACCCCAGGACTCGGGCACAACCACAACTCTACACCCCATAATCAAGATTCGAGAACAGAGCCACCACCCAACTCAAGGCAGCCAGCGTCTGACCACCTCCCAATTTAACTACCAATGGCTCAAGTCAGAGGAAAAATGGGTTCTCCGGTTTCTTTAACTGTTCCTGCACCAGATCTGCTTTTCTCACAGACCTTCCAGATAAAAGGAGGACTGTTTGGTTCAGTTTTCAGATGAACCACACCAGAAGGGCCAAGAAAAACTTTGAAGCACAATACTGTCCCTGAAGCAACATCAAGCACTGGGTCCATGTTCAGATCTGGGCTTGGGGCCACACGACTCCCGGGCCCAGGACTTCCGTCCGCCCGAGGGAAGGCACGCTCAAAGGGCACGTGAGTTTCCCACACCCCTCCTGCCCTCCATTTGCACATGTCCCTTCAAGGAGGGCCCTCTCATGCTCAATCTTTCCTGGGGAGACTTTGGCAACGCCCCCAGATAACTCTGGTCCTTCACCCGCGTCGACAGCCCTTGCCCAGTCTGCAGTCATACATCTGCGATCATTTGATGACTCTCCAGCATCTCTGCTAGACTGTCAGGTCTATCTCTCCTCTGCTGCGTGCCAGCACCTAGCAGGGTACCTGGCACTGAGTAAGCACTTCATAAACATCTGTTAACAAAGGCATTCATTTAAAAAGCCCCGAGCCTGCACTGTCCTGAAATCACTCAAAGCTATAGCTGCATGAATGCACAGACATTTGTTTAAGCAGCTCATTGTGATCAGAAATAACAGAGGGTCAGTGAGAGAATTTATGGCAAACCCCAAAGTAGAATATTACGCAGCAGTTAAAAAGAATGAAGGAGTTCTCTATATATTGACATGCATGAAGAAATCATGGAGATTTACCGTTGAGGGAAGGAGCTAGACAGAATGGTGTGTAAAAATACAGAGTAAAAGTTGTATAAACATAATTAAGTGGTTATATAGGAAAGATAAATAAGCACCAAACTTTTAGTAGTGGACTTCTCAAAGATACAGGACTACAGGAGGCATTCAGTTCTAGACATTACATCTCTGCCCTGTGTGAATTCTTTACACCATATGTTATAAAGCTAGTCATGTTTAGTGGGTCAGATCCCAGCTTGCTGTGTGACAAGTAGCAAGTTACTTAACCTCTCTGAGCCTTCATTACTTCATCCATAAAACTCAGATAAAACAGTAACTGTGTCTTAAGATTGTTATGAGGATTATGAGGGCTGATGTGAGATATATAATACATGGCACAGTGCCTGGTATAAAGTCAATGCTTAATAAACAGTAGCTATTATTACTGCTATCGTTATGTATTATTTCTACAGCCAAATATACAGACCTATGCAAAGTTTGTCTTTTGCAAGTCACTTGGTGAGAACTGCAAGAGAAAAGGACCCAAGTTTTGGCAAAGCCCTGCGTCTCACTTCGAATTCCCACTTTAAACGAGGAAATTCAAATATTGCCCCACGGACTCACATGTCCCAGTGGAAAGAAACAGCTACCCTAAAACCTCCCTGTCTCCCTAACAGCTTCTCCGCAAAGCCCCACATTTCCCACTTTAACATCCCAGCCAGGGAGTGGCTGCAAAGCTTCTGTCATCTGCTGTGTGATTTTCCCCGAGATAAACCAATAAAGCAAACTGCTCCATCCACGCAGGCTCAGGGTGGATGCGGAGGCGCTCCGAGGAGCCTGGCAAAGAGGCAAAGGCAGGTCCCCGCTCTCCCTCGGTGCTTCCTTCCCAGGAGGAGCCTGTCGGGGTCCCAGGTGCTGAGGCTCAGAGGGCCAAGGTACACGCGGCCCAGCTCGACCCCTCCCGTTCCTCAAGGCCCCAGGGCTTACCTGCACGGTCAGATAGAGCCTGTGGGGGCTCCCGGGGCCAGCCCAGTCCACGCTGAGGGCTCGGCACTGAGCCAGGGCCGGGCGAGCTGCACTGCGGGCACTGGAGTCCTCGTCGCCACCAGCAGGGGTGTCTTTTCCACGCCCTGTCCCAAGACAGAGAGGACAGGTGAGACAATCGGACTCTGGCCAAAGACTGCTGGCCGTGGACCACCGGCCAGGGCCGCGGCTGAGCTCGCTTTCGCACACTCTGGGCCGGCCCAGGCGTGGCCAGGAGGGGCTCACATGCCCTCACACGCCCGCCCTACACGGAGGGAGGGCCTGGCACCAGGCAGGGGCCGCACTCCTTTCTTACCAAAGGCCGCCCTAAGATTCTCTTCAGGGGGGCGTCCCAGACCCCCCCGGGGGGCTCCCCTCCCTCCACAGTGGCTTTTGGGGCTGGCGCTCGCTCGTGAGCACCCTCTACAGAGAGCAACAGAAGGAAGCCAACCAACCTGGCTGCGCTCCTCTTCATAGGAGGTGCACCCTGGGGCCGCAGCCTAATTACCCGGGCTGCCTCTAGGTGGGAATTTCTCCCCTGCCGTCATTACAAGCAACCCCACGTGGGGTGGCCTCATCCCCGCAGCCTCCAAAAGCATATTCAGGACCAGCTAAAGCTCATCCCCTCGTGCCTCTGACACACCCCCTCCCTCACCGGCTGGAGGAGAGAGCTGACTATGGCATCAACACCCCATCCACCCCTTAACCCCCCACCACAGCCTGTGGGGTCAGACGGGGTGGAAGAGGGGGCTCGCCCTCATGGGGGCAAGCTGCAGAGCCCACCACCCTGGGACATAATAACATCCCAAGTGCCAGCACTCAGCCAAGTGTTTTCCAGGCCTTAATGCCCTTCTCGATCCTCAGTTTCCTGGTCAATAAAATAGGGGTGAGGAACCAGCCTCACAGTCCGGTGGTGAGGATTAAATGGGATCACACACATAAAGTGCTCACACAGTGCCAGGCACACAGAAAGTGGCCACAAATGCAGGCTGTTAGGACCACATCAGCTGCTCACAACAACCCTGAGAGATGGAGAGCATTCTCCCCACTTGACAGGCAAGGAACTGCGGCCTGGAAGGGTCAATAACGTGCCCAGGGTCCCAAGAAGCCAGGATCGCAATCCCCGTGCTAACCCACCCTCTGCTGGCCCAGCCCACCCAAGGCAGAGAGAAGAGTCAGGGTGGGGGCCAAGGGGCCACTAAGTGGGCTGAGACTACCCAGTGGCAGGCACGATGCTTAGCATTTCACACACAGGATTTCATTTGACCTTTGTCTTAAATTTTAAAAGTGGATAAAAGTCTGCATGGTCATGTAGTCCTCACAATACTCATTTAATAGACCTATATGCACACACATACACAAGACTAGAAGGAACTATATACAGTGTGCAGTGACAAGCTTATGGCTGATTTTTATTTTCTTTTTTATACTTTTCTATATTTTTGTTTTTTGGGTTTTTTTAGTTTTCCAACATGTTCTGGGTTTTTGCTTCTTGTTTTCTTTTTTTACCAAGAAAATAACACTCATTCATATTACACTTGTGATCCTTAGGACAAGCTCATTGGGTGGAGACCACCATCTTCAGGCCCTTCCAGAGAACTGGGGCTACCCGACCCCAAAGCCCAAGCTTTTGCCAGAAGCCCCCAAGGTCAGCCCAGGCTCGTTGTCCCCTGCAGAGAGACCATGGAAGGTATCACTCTGGCTGCCACTGATGGCACAACTGTGGTGGGAAAGAAGGAAGTGAATAGGAGCTTGCTGTGTGCCCTCTCTGCGCCTCAGTTTCCCCTCCTGTACATACAGGTACTTGGACCCGATGGCCCAGAGGGACTCTGCTAGCTCAGACAGACTGGTAATCTAAACCCCTTTCCCTGGAGGTCTGGAGCAAGACAGCAAACCCCTGAGGGCATCTTGCCTGAAGACCCCTCCCTCCCCCCACACTTCCAGGACCACCTGCCCAGGCCGGCTCGGGAGACAGTCCTGGGGCAGCTCCCCAGCTCCAACAATCCAGCTTCCCCCGGAATCAGAGGAGCCACTCACTGTTTGATGTTGGAGGCACACGGGGACATGACCCAGAAAGGAGAGCTCGTGTTGACAGCTCCCCCAGGGGGACAGCGGGGACTCGGGGACTCCTTCACTGCCCACCCCCTACAGAAGCCACCCTGGAGGACACCTAAAACCCAGCGCATGGCACCCAAACCTGGCCCGGCCACGCTCCGGGGCAGCCTCGGTGCATTCCTCTCACCATCCACGGGCCAGCCAGGCGGGATCAAGTGACAGCGCCGCGCAGGGCTCCGGGCAGCCACTTCACCTACCTTGTTTACCAGCCGCAGGCAGAACCGGGGCGAGACCAGGAGCTCCCCGCCAAGGACGGCGGACCGAGGGGCTCCCCCGATCTGGCTGGGCCAGGAGTGCGTGGGTGATCGCGGCTTCTCCCTCTGCTCTAGGGACTGCGTTAACATCGAACCCGGCGTCCAGGGCTTCTCTGTACCGACGCCACAGGGCAGAGCGCCCGGCGAGACTGACACCCTGCTCCACGCCCGGCTGCCCGGCTCGCGGGCTGCCCGGTACCCTGTAATTACCTGACAGCTCTGACTGAGCCTAGGAACTTGCGAGAAACCCCGTCTCATCTCTGGTATCTGGAGGAAGGAAAGGAAATAAAGAGGCATTTTAAAAATGCGGACTCACCAGTTCTCAACCTCCCCGGGCCGGTGTGTGGGAAAGGGCGGGCAGCCGGGCTGGCTGGGGCGGGGCGAGCCATCCCAGGCTCAGGCTCCCCGGCCCAGCCCACTCTCCACAGGCCGAGCAGCGAGGGCGTGGCTCCCAGGTTCCACGTCCTGCGAGAAGGGACCATGGCCCGGGGCTCAGCAGTCTCCTCTGGGCGGCCGGCAGCCTGCAGAGAGAACAAGGGGAGACGAGATTGAAGACCCCAGGGTGGCACCCCGGGGCAGATCGGAGCCGCCATCTGGAAGGGTCTGCCCCAAATCCAATGTCCCCCAAGGACCCCCAGGGCTCAGGGAAGAAACGGGGCCTGTCACCATTTCTAGGTGCTTGTTCCAGAATGGGGAGGCTCAAAAGTGGGCAAGGAGCCCTCAGGTGTGTCTGCAGCACACTGTGGAGACCCCACATCTCAGTCCCTGCACTGTGAGCCTGGCAGGGTGAAGACAGGCCAGGTCTTCCCCACGTGGAGGAAGCACAAGTCAACAGCATCTCCATAAATCTGATCCTTTTTCTCTACTTCATCTTATTGTCCGACTGCAGTCAGCCAAGTAACTAACTCTTGAGCTCAGGCTCCTCTGCCCCAGGCCTGTCAGCCAAGTGGCTGATGCTCTGAATATTAACATGTCACTGATGAGGGGCTCAGAAGGGGCCCAGACTATCGCCAGTGACAAGTTAGGTCTATATGTAGCAAATTCTCTTAAAGTCAGCTCATTCATGTATTCAACCAGCCTTCACTCTGAGCCTACAAGGTGGCAGGCACCATGCTGGTACTGAGGTACAAAGATTCATTCATTTTTCATTTAATAATTATTTATTGAGTGCCTGCTGTGGGCCAGGCACCTGCCAGGGGTCTTCTTTGATCAGCAGCGACGGGGCCTCAAAGCTCCGGGTCGGAAGGGAGATAAACATTTCAACAGACCTTCACAATCGGAACAGGATGCAGGCACGCACCGGGAGCCGTGAGAGAAGGGACGTGGGGGTGGGGAGCAGGGATCTGGGATGGAAAACCACTTAGGTCGCTTATGAACTGAGCAAATGAAGAGAACAGAGCTCAAGCATTCACTGCATAAGTCTTTATTGAGCACCTCATGTGTGCAAAGCAGCCTTGAGGGCATTTAAGGTGACCAAACTACAGTCCCAGACTTGGACAAACAGGGACACCATTTACAGAAGAAGTGAAGTCAGCTCAGAGGCAACGCTGAGTTTGCTCTGGGGTTTAAAATGGAGTTGGAGGCACCCAAGGGACTTCCTAATGGTGCTACTGGGGCTGCCGACCACTTTCCCCATCCCTCACTGCAGTGACCACTTTCCACCAGGCAGTAAAGATATCTATTTGAACGGTGTCCACCTCCCCTGACCCTCTATGGCTCCTGAGGGCACGGCCCACAGCACCTTCGTTCATCTTTGCAGCCCCACAGCACCAGCCTGGAGCTGCAGCTACGTCCACACCACACACCAGGCCACGGCTTGTTGGGAGAAGGCCGTGCAAGGAACGCACACAAAAGCTCACACTGAAGCTTGAAAGAGAGAGCCGGGCTGGAGACTCAGAGCTGGGAGGCTAAAGGTCACTGATGCCACAGGTAAGGATGCAGTCACCAAAGACTGTGCAAGATGAGAGACAAGCAGGGAGGGCAGAGCTCAATCTGGATGGGAAGGGAAGCCGGGAAGGGAGGTCAGAGAGGCGGCAGGAGGGCCAGGCAGGTGCCGAGTCCTCGGAGGTGCCTGGAGGGTGAGTGGGGAGGAGAGGATGATCAGCTCCCAGTGACCCAGGCCACAGAGCAGTCAAACTGGAAGAAAGCCCCCAGGGGCCCTTTAAGGGAGAAGGCCAGGGCCAGCCCCGTGGCTTAGCGGTTAAGTGCACGCGCTCCGCTGCTGGCGGCCCGGGTTCGGATCCCGGTCGCGCACCGACGCACGGCTTCTCCGGCCATGCTGAGGCCGTGTCCCACATACAGCAACTAGAAGGATGTGCAGCTATGACATACAACTATCTACTGGGGCTTTGGGGGAAAAATAAATAAAATAAAAATTAAAAAAAAAAAAGGGAGAAGGCCAATGGAGCAGGGCAGAGGGCAGACCGGGGAAGACCCGTGGGGTGGACGGGGGCTAGAGGCAGCAGCCACCGCCTCCTCTTTGGGGAAGTTTGGCTAGGATGGGAAGGAAAGGATGAATCGAGAGGATGTGGTATTTAGAATAGGAGAGACTGGAGCATGCTGGGCCGACAGAGGGGCAGGAATGATGGAAGCATCGAGACGAAAAAGAACTATGAGCGCAGGGCTGGGTGGTCCGAAGATCTGGTGATCCATGTTTGCAGAGCAGAGCCCTGGCAGAACGCCAGGCTCCCGGCTCAGAGTCGTGGTCTCTGCCTTCCTTGCGGGAGGAAGATGACTTGGAGGAGGAGGCTCCTGGGGGCAGTCTCACTGGGAGGGGGCTGGGCTGTGGCCCAAAGAACCAAAGAATCCAAATATGTGGGCGGGCTCCACAGAGGAACTGGAGATGGACCAGTGTGGAGTGGAAGGGGCAGCAGCCAGATGCCCTCTTCTCTAGGCTGCTTGGCACAGAGCTGGGCACACAACCAACCCCAAGGACCAGCGGCCCGAGGGGCAAGCAGGGAGAGAGACAGGCTCCACCTGCCCACCAAGCTGCTGGAGAGGTGAGACGGCGTAGGGCATCGAAGGTTGGTTCCACGGCTGAGGGGAAAGACTTTTAAGGAGATCAGCTAAGTCTGAGGGGCAAGAATCTGTGGCTTTCAGGAAGGGAAGTTGGGGAGGCAGCCAGGAAGATATCAGGAAGAAAGAGGAAGGGCGTGTGCAAGATCCTGAAGAGGAAAAGGCAGCTGAATTTAGCAGCGGGAGGGCTGTGAAGGTCAAAAGTATCAAGGACTCTCAAATAAGCCCAAGGCAGGAGACTCTACCCACCTAGGTCATGGGGTGGGGTGACGGAGTGGGCAGCATAACAGTGGAGCTGGCTCAGAACCTGGCTGTGCCACTTACTAGATGCGTGACCCTAGGAGAATTATGTGGTCTCTCTGTGCCTCACTATCTCCATCTGTAAAATGGGGAGAACTCCACCTTATAGGGTTGGGGTAAAGATTAGACAATGCATATATAAAGTGTTCAGAACAATAATGGCATGTATAAAAAACTCAAAAATTTTATTTTTCAGTGACCTCCCTCCAGTGGTGG